TCCTTCCTGAGCCTATGATGGCTGGACATTCCCATGGTGGTTATACTTGATAGAACTATTTGAACAGATGAACGTGGAACCTTCAGGCATCTGGAAGTTGTACCCAAGGATGGACCAGACTAGTGGAGGTCCACAGCTCTCCTCCTGATATCTTGGCTGGTTTCTTTAGATTTTCCATTTTGTCAAAAAGGAAGCAGTGTGTTTGAGGTGTGCCTTAAAATACATCCATAGGTGTGCCTCCAGGTAACTCACATGTTGTCAATTAACCTATCAGATGCTTCCAAAGTCATGACATCATCGTCTGGGCTTTCCAAAATAGTTTGAAGGATCTTAGTGGATGTAAACTTCTGACCTTGAAGAAAGTAATAAAACATCCTCTCTCATTATTCTGGCGTTTACCAAATAGACATAATGTTGGTGATCCTGACTGACCTGAAACAGGGGGCCGGAGAAGCCTCCCGGGGGCCGGAGACGGCGGAGCCCCCCGGGGGAGAAGGACTCGGACTCGGAGTTCATAAACAGATACATATATATATATATATATATATATTATGCTATAAAAGGGGGGACTCGGGCCGGGAGCCGGAGAAGCGGAGAAGCTTCCTGGGGGCCGGAGAAGCCTCTCGGGGGCCGGAGATGGCGGAGCCCCCCAGGGGAGCCGGACTCGGGCCGGGAGCCGGAGAAGCGCAGAAGCCTCACGGGGGCCGGAGACGGCGGAGCCCTACGGGGGAGCCGGATTCGTGCCAGGAGCCGGAGAAGCGGAGAAGCCTCACGGGGGCAGGAGAAGCCTCCCGGAGGCCGGAGACGGCGGAGCCCCCCAGGGGAGCCGGACTCGGGCCGGGAGCCGTCGTCGTCGCCATTAATTTCTGATAATGGACACCTCGTCGGGCATTATCCCTTACATATATGTCACAGAGTGATTTTGTGTGGAGGTGAGAGGGTGAGTGCCTGGGTGGCATGTGTGCCTGATTGTAACTCCGCCCCCAGGATTAGGCATAAGTAGAGACTGGTGTGTGTGTTGAGGATGCGATGGTGGCAGGTCCTGAGCAGAAAGAACGGCAGCGGACAGAGGGAGCGGCTCCTGGGTTGGTGGACGGCAGGCCAGGTGTGGGAAACGCGCACGGAAGGCGTCTGACTGAACCGGAGCGGGGACAGCAAAGAGTGGCCGGTGACTGGAAGCGCCGTGGAGGGGGAGCGTGAGCCAACCCCCCCCCCCATCAGCTAAGTGCCTTTTAATTGTGGTTGCTGGAATGGTTGAAGCAGGGCCCGCTTGCATGGTTTTAAGTTTTTTGCTGTGACTTGTGATTACGAGACAGCGGTTGCCCGCTTGCATGGTTTTAAGTTTTTTTTTTTTTTTTATCTTTTTGCTGTGACGTGTGACAACAAGATAGCGGTGGCCCTGCCTTAGCCAGCCCCTGTAGCACAGTGTCTCCACCAGTCACCGGTTTGGCAATCACACGGCCTGTCGCTTACGCAGGTCGCCCCCATCCCCCCTAAGCGTCGGGGAAGAGGACCGACGGAGGAGGAGGAAGAGAGGAGCCAGGACTAGCTGGTTGCTGGCTGGCTTGACCAGGATTGTTTCTCCTGTCCCGGACTAGGAATATTTTTAATTGTTTTATTTTTTTTTTTAAACAACTCCAGCCTATTAATAAATGTTGTTATCCTTTTTAACCAGCCTCACGTTGAATATTTATCTATATAGAGTGCTCCCCCTGGGACTCAGTGTGTCTGGGGCTTCTCACCCCTGTTACATATATATTATGCTATAATGGGGGGACTTGGGCCGGGAGCCAGAGAAGCCTCCCGAGGCCCGGAGACGGCGTAGCCCCCAAGGGGAGCCGGACTCGGGGCGGGAGCCGGAGAAGCCTCCCGGGGGCCGGAGACTGCGGAGCCCCCTGGGGAGCCGGACTCGGGCCGGGAGCCGGAGAAGCCTCCCGGCGGACGGAGACGGCGGAGCACCACGGAGGAGGCGGAC